CATCAAATAGCTGTCTTTCAAGGCAGCCAACATATGCTGTTGTTGTTCATCGCCTCTTGTATATGCCAAACATTAATGCCAGCCTTTTCTGGAAGGTGACCTTTCCTGACTGTGTCTCACATCGCTGTCTGGGGTTGCAGCTTATGTGTGGAAGGGTTTCCAGCTAGTTGGGAGAGCTAAATGATCAGCAAAGCCTTTATCAAAACCATGACTGAGGCTAGGCAATCAACAGCAGTGGGATTCTCGAGTCCTTCTGCACAGACCATCCGGAAGCAGTGTAGGAAACAATCCCCTACATGTGAACCTCAAGATTGTAAGACAAACCAGTACACTGTGTAATATGCAGAGTGAGTGATGCAAAAATGATGTCTCTGTCACCGCCACCCTCAAGACTTCCTGGGCAGATGCAACAGGGATGGTGCAAAGTGGCTGTGGAAGGTAGCAAGACCAGTCTGTTGAGTTAGGGCTGTTCACAGCCTGGTTCTTTCACTCCGACCAGAAGTTTCCTGCTGAGCTTGTGAGACTTCCCCAAAGGTGTTGACCAGCTCACCATTCAAAGCACACTTGAAAACTGGGTCCCTCAGCCTAGTTCCTGGACTATTTAGGTGAAGACTTGTATCTTTGGGGCGAAATTTCCCAGGGTCACTTGGTTTTTCACCAGCTAAGTGTGGGTCTCTCGGGTGGTTCTCTTTTTGTCAGTGCTAAAGCGCCTTCTCAGGACTGAGCTTCTCTTCCACAATCCTATCTGCTCTCAGTCCGGAGCTATCACTCAAACCTCTATGTACTTGTCCACTCACACATGGCTCTCACACACCATAGCTTAGGAGCTGTGAGGCAAGCAGTCATTTTGTTAACTCTGTCCATACTTAATGCTGGCATGTTTCACTTCAAATACAACCAGCTGCTGCAAAATAGCTCATTTCTAGAGCACATAGCTAGCATGCCTGAGGCATGGGCTCCATCCAGCTCCACTAACCAGTTTAAATGAAACTGCCAAACCAACATTATGGCTTCAAAAAGCAACAGTAAACGTTACTTGAAAGTATACCTTAAATTTAGAATGAAATTTCATTTCAATTATACTTTTGAAAGCTATCATTTCTTAATTCTGTCTAGATTCTGGTTTCAACACAGAATTTTTTTTTTAACTAAATAGAACTACTCAGTTATAGGATCATATAGCATACTTTAAGGTTTCATCCTGTGGGGGGAAAAAAAATCAGGCTGCTATTTCCCAGCTTAGCCAAGGTCATGTGGGGGTCTGCGTCTGTCATACAGCTTAGAAAGCCGCTTCTTCATCACCTTGCGGGCATCAGAAGTAATGGCTTCAAACCCAAGCCTTATCCTTGTATTCATATTCATGACCCTGCGTTGTCGTCATTGTCCCCACCCTGTCCCACCCTGTCCCACCCTGTCCCACCCTCTTTTTTTAAGGCATGGTCTCACTGTGCTAGCCTCGAACTTACTATGTAGACCACACTGGCCTCAGAGGTCCACAGGCTCTGGGATTAAGTGTGTGCCATGAGGCCCAGGTCTCTTAATGATTTCTAAAACAAACATCAGAGTATTCGTGACTCAGACTAAATTCTAGGGTCTTGATTCATGTTAAGCCAATTCTAGGCCTGAATTTACTTATAGTTTCTCCTAGCCATCATCACATCTCACAGGTTCTACCTGATAAACATTCACAAGAAAATGGTAATCCCCACCCCTTATATGGCTAGGCATGTAGCTCAGTAGAGTGCTTGCCTAGCAAGCCTAAAGCACAGAGTCTGATCCCAGCACCACATAAAACCAGGCATAGTATATAGCACACCCATAATCCTAACAATTGGTTGGTGCAGGCAACAAGATAAGGAGTTCAAGGCCATCTTCAGCTATGTAGTTAAGTTTAAGGATAGCCTGGGCTACAGATATCCTGTCTCAAAAAACAAAACAAGCAAAACTTTCTCAATTGCCCACCCCCCTTCTTTCAGTGGGTGTTTAGAGGTCAAATTCCTGAGTTTTCTGCAGTGAGCTATGCTCCTAGGCCCCAGGAACTGATTCAATGAGATTTAATCTGCAGATCTAGGAAAGGGACAAGAAGTAACTCTGTCATGGTCATGCAGCTGTGGCCCAGTCACACTGACCCTTCCTCACTCATGCCGTCATCAAGACCAGCTCCAAAGGGGCCTTGGCACATAAAAGCAGTATTTATTTTTAAATGCCCGGTAAGCTGACTAAAGGAAGCTATGGAGAGCCTATTTCTAGCACCACCGCATCCCATGGCCACAGGATTCTTCCCATGCTGGCTCGTGCTCCAGAGACCACCTGACAGTGGCACTGGCGTTAATCTTGGGTAGGAAGCTGCTTCCCTGCGCCCACTAACGAGTTTGCCTCCACCCACACGTCAGTGCCCTCCCCTGCCACCAAATCTGTCCCAACAACAGTGCCTCCCTGGTGCCTGGAAAAACCCACCCAGTGAATTCAAATACCAAACAACACCAAATGGCTTCCCCTAGGACTGCTCAAGAGAAGAAAGCCGAGAATCAGCTTTGTAGCAGGTCTGCATCCCTGTGGAGTAGGTTCCCTTTCAGTTGCTTTTTTCTTTTCTCTCTCTTTTAAAATGAGGCAAAACATCTCCATTACAATCCATGTTTGGGGCTCATTCCTGTCTCTTGAGTGTGAAATACAAATCATGATTTTGATTTTTGTAAACTGACTTTTTACACCTTCGTTTTGAAAGAAGTTTCTTATTAAAAAAAAATAAAACGTTTCTTTGTGTGCAGGCTTTATTTGAAATATTTTTTTCAAGAACCATCACTACTCCTTAGGACAAGGGCAAGGATCACCCTCTGCAGAAACTTGGGAACTGCACACAGAACTGTGCGGAAGCAACATCTCAGCTGGAGCTGGGGCTGCCCGGGGTGGAGGGGTGGGGTGGAGGTTCAGACAAGGAGAGGGTGTCAACTTCAGCTGCCACCAGGGTAGTATCTCGTGCTCCTAGACAGTAGGCTGTCTTTGGGAAGTTTGAGTACACAGGAATTCCATTATCTGCAACCAGATAACAGGTGGTATTAGAAATGGGAAAACAAAAAGAAAACTGCTTTCTCCTAGAAATCCAAGGGTGAGGATTTACCCAAGTCTCTGCTGCTATTGCTAGCCTCATCTCTTAGGAACCCTCCCTCCCCCCAAAATAGGCAGAGACGGAGAGTTATGTGCTTACTTGGCTATACCCCTGGCTGAGGTGCCATCAAATCAATGTCACTCAAGTTCCTGGCCAGCCAAACTCCGGCGGCAAAGAGTCCCAAATTGAGGATCAAGTTCCTGGGTAGAGAATATACTTAATTAACACTGAAGTCAGAGTCCCAAGAAGTTAATGACATACCATGGGAAGTTTCCCCTCAGCACCGCCTTCTGGAGTGGTGATTGACACTTGATATGGTGGTATGTCGCCCAATATGCACGTGAGAATTTGGAGTTTACATCTATTCCTAGCACAAGCAAAGCCAACTTAGCACTCTTCCAGGGCTAAACAACCTCTTCCCCACCTCCTAGGTCAGGGTGGCTTTGATTTTCTTTTTTTTTTTCTTTTTGTTTTTCGAGACAGGGTTTCTCATGTAGTCCTGGCTGTCCTGGCACTCGCTCTTGTAGACCAGGCTGGCCTTGAACCCACTAAGCTCCACCTGCCTCTGCCTCTGCCGGAGTGCTGGGATTAAAGGCGTGCGCCACCACCACCCGACTAGGATGACTTTTTAAAAATATTACATTAATTTGTGTGTATGTGTGCGATCGTGCATGTTGACACAGTGCAAGTATGGAGGTCCGAGTACAGCCCGCAGGAGTTGGTATCTCCTTCCTCCTTGCGGGGTCCCAGCGATCGAATTCATGTCCTCAGGCTTGGCAGCAAACGCTTTCACCCGCCGAGCCCTCGCTGCAGCCCAGGGCGACATTCTATATACCTTGAGAGCCACGTGACAGATGTCTTTTGCCACCAGAACATTTTCTGAGCCTACGGCCTCAACAGAACACAAAAGACACCATGAGACCACTATGTTGTCAATGTGGTAAAACCCCTGGGAATGGCAGCCTCACCAGGAAGGGAAATGCAAGTTTATGAGGACCAGAGAGGAGCCAGCCTCGGTTACCTCCGGAAGTCGTTCCGATCGGTGGCGAAGCGGTAGACGCCGCGGAGCCAGTCTCCTACGTTGTCTGGAACCTCGGGGGCCTCGTTGGCCGAGCCGGAGGCGCTCACCGTCACCCCACTAGAAGCCATAACAGCACCGAGCACCTCCGCACAGGCTGCGCGCGGCGCACAGAGTCGGCGCAGGTCGAACGCGCAACTTCCGACCCTGCACTTCCGCCGGCCGGGGGTAACAAGCGAGAAGGCCCGCCCCCGGCGCTTCCACCAGTTCAGAGAACTTGAAATCCGGGCTGGAGGTGGAGCCCCTGCTTGCTGCCCCACCTCCCGGTGCCTGGAGCCTGTTACCGGGCTGTTGCACCACTCCGTTAGTTTACGCGGGGTGCTGGGGAGAGGGGCTCGCTCACCCAGGAGGTTCTGGGCAGTGGTGTGTCCCCAAGAAAGTTTTCTTCAGGTTAGAGAGCGTGCAGTGTGGATGGGACTGTCCCGCGTGCCTGCCTTCAGTCTCGGGTCTTTTACACAGCACAGTCTTGTTACCCTGCTTCACAGGTCCCCCACCCCACTACCAGATCTCTAACAAACGGTGCAGTGCTTCCTGGAGATGTCTCTGTCATCTGCCTGGAGGTTTTCCGGGGTCTTCCAGGGACCTGGAAGGCGCTGGCCGAAGAAAAAACCTTCGGGTTCCGACTCAGAGGAAGAGGAGCAGGTGGGGCAGGGGCTGTCCTCTTTGGGGTTTCTGGGCGTCTGTGGGGGCCTTTCGGACGCCCCGCTCGGGGTTTCTAGGGTGGGGCTGGCGACTGTGGAGGGAAGCGCAGCTCGGGAGGTGATTTTGTCATCCGAGGAGGCACAGTTCCAGCCGATGCTTGGATCGGGTCTTGTTTCCCCTGTTTCGGACCGGTCAGAAATGCCCATCTCAGAGCCCCCAAATCCCTGTGCTAGAGGCGGGCCAGGGCTGCGTGCAGCCTCCCGCCCCGCCCCAGGCTGTGCCGTGCGCGCCGCCGCTGCCGCCCGCCTACCCCAGGGGCCCCCGCCTCCGTCCACCAGTGGGCGACCGCGTCCCCCGCCCGCCCGGGAGCGAGTCCTGCGCTGCAGCCCCGCCGGGTGGGTTCGGGAGGCCTTCGGAGCGCGCAGGCCAGGGACGCGCGGTGAGAGCTACGGGCCCCGTTGCTCGCGTCTGGGGGTTGCGGTGGGAGGACGGGGCGCTGCTGGAGTGGGCAGGACAGCATGGGGATGGGACCAGGGGTTCCGACCCGGGAGATTACCCCCTTCTATGTTTAGCCTAAGCCGCCGCCCCCTCCCCCTTTAGATCTGCACCGTCCCCTCCTTTACCAAGGGACGCCTGCCCTTCCAGTGCCCCCACTGAGCTAGAGCCTGCACTCTGGTAGCGGCTCGCGAAGCAGCTGGGGCAGCAGGGACTGCCCCCGGGCAGGGCATAACGTCCTGCACCCAGAGGCCCGGCGCAGTCTTGGCAGCAGAAGTGGTTCTCGTGCCAGCGCCGTCCCTCGGCCTCCGTGCAGCGCTGAGAGAAGATCAGCTGGGAGAGGTTGAGGAAAACGATTGATTCCTTCACTCATTCATTCATTCATTCATCCACCCAATAACGACGCCTTATATCCATTAACGATTGGAGTACTTTGTCATTCTTGGATTCAGGGAGGGTGACTGGCTTTGGCCGGATCCCCTACGTAGCAGGTGGTACGGCCAAGAAGTTGGACCCCTATCCCAAGGCTCATACTGTTTTTCATGTTATGTTGGAGTCTTTCTAGCATGTTCAAGCTCAGCACTGAGCATCTGGCATAGCGATGAGATAAATATCTATTCAAGAATCTAGAAATGTTCTGAGTCCAAACTAATTTACGGACCTCTGCTTGCACTGGGGGAGAGCAGAGGTAAAGGCAGCAGGTCCCACATGCCTGGAGTTCAAGAGAGAACACAAGGCAACAGAGTGGCCCTGGCTGTTTCCTAGTTCTCTCTACCCTGTTTCCCACTTCTACTAGGAGACCTTACAGCCTGGGAAGGTGTTCCCTGCTCCCGCATTGCTTCCCCGGGGAGGAATTACCCTAATGTCTCCCCTGGGTGCTCTACCTGGTCACAAGCAGGACATCGAGGTCGCAACAGCTCTGCATGATGGCGGCCACAGTAGAGATGCCCATCGTGGTAAAAGTAGATGAGGTTTATCAGGGCCTGACCACAGGCCTGGCAAGCAAAACAAGGTCTGTGCCAGCAGCACCGCTCACCAGCCCTGGCCGCAAACACCCCGTACTCTCCTGGATTCAGCAGCTTCTTGCACTGCCAAAGTAGAGGCGCTGGGCTGGTCAGAAGCCGACCCTTCTGAGCCTCTCCCCTGGCTCTTCAACCACGACCCCCCATCTGGTGGTTCGTACTGTGCTACAGGCCCATCTCCACCAGAGAGGCCCACTCCCCAAACCTGGCTTTCCCCTTCCCCTGACATTTACCAAATCACTGATCCTGAAAACATCTCTCCACTAAACTCCCAAAACCCTTGCGGCAGAAGTGAGAGCAAAGGGTGGAAGAAGGGAAGGCTGGGGCGGAGAAGGGAGGGACACTCCCTACCTTCTCACAGGTGCGTCCTCCAAGCTTGGGAGGCAGCAGGCGGGCCACCCCCTGCCCTAGGGATTTCTGCTTCCGCTGGGCACAGAAGAGTCGCAGTTGGGCCAGTTCCTCCTCCCCTAGGGCCAGACAGTAGCGCTCCTGCAGAAACAGGCCCGAGCACCCAGACCTCGTCAGAGCACCACTAGGTCGGCAAGGTTCTCTAAGGCTTAGATGCTGGATCAGAGGGAGGTGACAGGACCTTGGGACAGGATAGCGGACGTGCTCAAGAGGGAGGGGAGAGAACACAATTAAGGCCTTAGTTCGCTGTGCTGCCAGGAGATGGCCGTCACTCAGGGCCACATAACACTCAGTACCATCGCCAGACAGACACAGTGGCTCCCGTCCCCACTGAGCTAGATCTCAGTATCACTCTGACTTCTGTTTTCTCTGCTTCATAGATTGTCTTGCCTCCCCAGTAGATGGTAAGCCTTTGGGCTGCACATGGCGGGGCCTCAATAAATACTAAACAACCATATTTCTACATCTGTGCATTCCATTCTTGATTTCAAATGCCGTGTCATGTCCATTTTCCCATTTGCTCTTGAGCTAATCACTGTGACACGCAGAGCATGTATTACTGCACTGTTATTAGGTGTGGACACTCAAGCACGGGGAATGACTTCCTCCGGCTGCTGGCAGACCTGGGCCTTTAGTCTGTCTCCCGAATTCTAGACCAAGACTCTCTCTACACAGTGCGTGACAAGGTGTGGACAGAGAGCGAAGGAGGAGAGAGGGGAATCAGAGGGGTGACCCACATCACTGTCCTGTGGAGGAAGCTGCTGAAGCAGGGTCCGAAACCCAGGCCAGTTTGAGGCTTGGTTGATATCCAGGCAAGGCAGGCCCAGGCTTGAGCCTGGAGGGACCTGGGGAGAGACAGGAGGAGAAGTCGGGGCTAGGTTTTCCCCTTCCTTGTTCTTATCACTTTCCCTCCAACCATAGCAACTCCCAAGCGCCCCTCTCCACTTGGAGGGGAACCCTTCCCGTCTGTCACTAAGCAAGAACAGCTGGGCGTGGTGGCACAGGCCTTTAATCCCAGAACTCAGGAGGCAGAGGCAGGAGGATCTCTGTGAGTTTGAGCCTGGTCTACAGAGTGAGTTCCAGGACAGCCAGGGCTACAAAGAAAAACCCTGTCTCAAAAAACCAAAAAAAAGAAAAAGAAAAAAGGAACAGTAGGTCCTCTCCTGATCTGCGGTCTGCCTGGAAGGAACCACCCCCCCCCCCCCCCCCCCACCCCCCCCACCCCCGGCAACACCACTCCATAGATCTGAAGCTCTCCCATTCACTCCCTCCTTGCAGCCAGTCTCTGACTCCAGACAGACCTAGAGGAGGAGCTGTGTGTTTGCAGGGATGGACTTCAGAAAAGAGAACAGGTCTACAGCCTTAGGCAAAGCTGAAGGGGTGTGCATCCCTACAATCCCACCCAGTGGGAGGCGGAGGCAGGACTGAAAAACAAGATCCTGCCTCAAAGTGGGGGAGAGGGGCAGGGAACAGCTAGGTGGCTCAGCACTTACCAAGCCCGAGTTTGGTCCCCGGGACCCACAGTGGAAGAACAGAGCTGACTCCCACAGGTTGTCCTCTGACCTCCACATTTGTTGTTTGTTTGGTTTGAGACAGAGTGTCTCTCTGTAGCCCCAGGTAGCCTGGAACTTGATACTCAATATATAGACCAGGCTGTCCTTGTGCTCATAGAGATCTGCCTGCGTCTGCCTCCTAAGTACTGAGACTAAAGGTGTGCACATCACACGTGGCTAATAAAGGTTTGGCTGGGGTTTTTTGTTTGTTTGTTTGTTTTTTTAAACAGAAAGAAAAACGCAGACTATCTCCTGGTTGGTAGAAGGGGAATGGGGGCCAGAGGCTGAGAGCATGGTGGTCTCAGAAAGAGTGGCCCTCCTACCTGAACAGAGGTTTCCTCATAGCCCTCCACTGGCTGGTGGCCTGAGTCACCGACTGGGTTGACTGGTGGGTCTGGCTCCCTGAACATAGGGCTGTCCTGTTGGAGGGACCAGTCAGAATTCCGAACTGACATTGGTGGCGGTCTGCCTGAAGAAACACACAGGGACACCTCCTTCAGCGCGTCTTCCCAGCATGCCAGGCAATGCAAAGCGCTCTAAAGTGCCATCGCACAGGCCTGTCAACGGCCAGGTGACTTGGGTGGCATTGTCCCCATTTTACAGATGGCCAGGCTGGGGTTCAGACAGCACTGATAGATGATACCAAGGTCAAACAGCTGATAAGTGGCAAAGTCAGATCTTTGAGCCCCTGGGTTTGTGAAGTTCAAATTCTTGGGTCTCGCAAAGCTGGGTGTCTCAGAAGAGGGGAGCCACATTCAAGGGACCATTTTGCTCTCTCGTGAGCCTCTGGGCAGGCTGGACCTCTCCTACTCACCTTCCCAGTCTTCCCAAGGTTCCTCAGTGAACCCTCCCTCCCCCCCCACCCCCACTTGCCTCCTCACTACACCCTACTCAGGCTGCATATTTCCAGCTACGCACTTCTGGAGCCTGCTTGAAGGCCTCCTCACCAGGAACCTTCCTCAGCTTCTCTGGCCTGTACCGGTTCTCCCTGCTGAGTGCTCAAAGGGAGCGTAGGCATAGCCAGCCCTGAGTTAGTGCCCAGTGTTTCCTCATCTAGTCTAAATGCCTCAACGGTACAAGAAAACTTGGTGTCCACCCATTCTCTCTGATCAAACCCACAGCCTGCCACGAACCAGGCAAGCCTTCTTCCACCAAGCTACACCACCTGCCTTTAAAGCAACGCAAGGTTGGGTGTCATAGCGCCAAGGCTAGCCTTGAACCCCTGATCCTCCTGCCTGGACCTCCAAAGTGCAGAAGCGAAAGGCATGGACCACCACACCCAGCTTGATAACAGCAGTGTTAGTGGATAGTCCTCGTGCACCTCTTTGCCGCAGTTAAAGTGGGGTCACGGTGTCTTTGGGTGGGACTACTGAAGTAGAGAAAAGATGGTCCCTGCTCTCGACGAGGTCGCGTGTGGGCTAGTGAGCAAGAAATGTAACCAGAGAGAACAGGGTTCATGTGCATGCATTCTGGGTGAAGGGTTGGGTTGTGTGGGATGGTGATAGCCAGAGCAAACTTCTATGTTTATTCAGTGTCGGTGACCATTCTAGAAATTTCCATAATACGGTCCATTCTTACAGTCCATTGAAGCAGTTCCGTCTAAACGGTTTTACAGTTGAAAACCCAACCATCAACCAATCCATTGACCAATGAGCAAAGTAGAAGGCGAAGTTTTTTGGGATTTGGGATGTCATCTACCTCAGAGCAGCAGCTAGGCTCAGGAAGACCAACAGTAAATCACTAGGCTTTGGGGTGTTGTGCAGGTTTCCTTTATAACCATCAGAGCGCCTCCCAATTCTAAACACCCCTCAGTCCCCCCTCAGATGTCCAGTACCACCCTTCCCTCCTTCCTGGCTCCACACCCACCTGCTTCCTTCCCGTTGGTCCCCCAGGTCAGGTTTCCTGTGGAAGGTGGCCGGGATGGACTGTCCACACTCGGGGTAGGAACAGCCACACCCCTCAGCAGCACTGTCTCAGCTCCGTGAAACAAGGGAGGGGGCGGTTCCTGGGGCCCCAGAAGGGGGCTTGTACTCTCTTCCAGGTTAGTTCTAGTTTGCATGGAACTGTCTGGCACAGAAATAACTATCAGAAACCAGACCTCTACCCATCACCCTTCTTTCCCCCGCCACAGAGCAACCTAATTCATCTCCAGCTACCACTGGACCCCATCTTACTAATATGCTGGTTTCCTCTCATAATTCCCTCCTCTCTCCTTTCAGGTAAAAACATGCCAAACACTGGCTCCCGCCTCTCGCCCCAGATGCAACCAAGCTCAGGGGTTCGGCCTCCCCAAACAACACCTATTCTTGGAAGGATGAGCCCCAGAGGCCCCAGGGACTGGAGAGCAGTAGACATGGGAAGGTGTCCCTGACCCAGAGGGAAAAGGGAGGGGCGTGTACATTTTCACAAAGTGGCCTCTCGACAGAGCAACAAAGTTTCCCTAGGACTTTGCAGGTCCACCCCGCAGGGCGGAGGCTCGACGTGTGCTTACCGCGTTCGCTTGGGGTCCCTGTCTAGCTGCTGGTTTAGGAGTGGGGACTCAAGACTCTCCGGCAGGGGTCTCAGAGTGGCCAAGTGCAAGCGCCCGCGCCGTCCTGGAGGGACCCGCCTTCGGGTCGCGCCCCCAGTGGTCCCGACCAAAGGGGTGCTGCAGCCTGAGGAAGGCGCTCGGGTCTCGGGGCGGGAAGGGCGCAGGTTTCCATGGACTTGGCGACGCGATGCACAGCCGCCGAGCGGCGCGGAGTCGGGAGTCTCTCGGCCCGCCCCCGGCCTCGGCCCCGCCCCCTCCGCGGGCCCCTCCAGCTCCTCCCCTCCGTCCCCAGCGGCCCCTCGCTACTTTCCCTCCGGGATTCCGAGTCCTGCCCCGCTTCGGTCCTCCGATCGGCTCCGCTATCTTTCGGGACTCTCTTCTGCTCGAGAGACTGCTGACCCCTCGGGTCCCCGCCCCACCCCGCGCCGGGCCCCTTCTCGAGACAGGCCACGCCCCTCGGGAGTCCCAGGCCGCGGCCCCGAGCGCCCTCTGGCGTCTGCGCATGCTCTCTGCCCCCGACTGCAAAGTCCTCCAAAGGGACCTTCTAGGCTGCCTGCCGGTCGCCCCCGCTCGGGTCGGCCGGCCCGCAGCGTCTCGTTGGTGCAGCCGGCGACCTCCGACCCCGCGGGAGCGGGGCGGGGCGGG